GGTCACCGTTACAGTAAGCACCTCGGCAGTTCTTCGTGAATACTATTCGGCATCCCAACTTCAGCTTGACGACGAGTGGAATGCCAATCACACCAATATCTTCGTCTTCGGCCGGTGGTCTATGGTCGCTAATCCCGGCGTTGAACGTTACCGGAGTCCCAGGTATAGCACCTATATGTTGTTTGTTAATTCTGTTTGCGGTTCCTCGAGAGATAGTAACAGCTGTCCATTCTTCTTCGTGCTCACCCTCAACGTCCCGAATAGCAACTGCCAGTGCTTTTGCCGACTCGGATAGCTTCGTACCGGACTGCATTCCTCTTATTTCCGCAAGAAACTCCGTGAACGGGATATCAGGACCCTCGGCGGGGTATGGTAGGGGTCTACGTCCACGACGACCTGGGCGGATACAACCAGTGATAGCCGATCCTCGATTGAAGGACTTCAAGAAGTAAGTCCTCAGCGGCATAAGCTTCCATATTTGACAGTCCCACACAGGTCCGACCTCGAGGTCTTTGTAGTCGCCATATCGCTCGGGATGAGCGTCCTGAAGTTGTAGTGGGTCGCTCACAAAGTTCATGTGGATGTTACCAAACAGGCCAGCCTCGCCTCGCAGGTCACGGAGGGCTTGCTCAGTTGCCATCAACATGGAGTCAAAGACAGTCACAACCTCGTCGATGACCATTACGGGTTGCCCACTGAGTCTTTATGTGGCCCCGATTCTTTTGACCCCTTCGACCATCCGGGAAGCTAGCGTTAACGGGCAACAAAGTAAGAGGTATCGTTAGCCTTACCGTGAGCAGTGTCGAATTTCAGTCCCCGAAATGACATGAATGTTACCCCATCAGCCGCACTTGCGGCTATGGCTGTAGATGATATAACATGCACGTCGACTCCCAGCTACGCCTGAGATGAAGTGATGTATCTCCGGCTTCATGGAAGTCAGAAGGGCACTCATGGGGCCACAAGAATGGGTAGAACCGACTGAAAAGGTGTTCCTGGTTCTGAGAACCATGTTGTGGCTCACTCGGGAATCTCCAGACTCTGGACTCCAGGGGGTATATAGTCTTGCGTGCATAGTAGGCATTGCCCACTATGAACGCAAGACGATATGGACTGCGGATACAGTATCAGTTGAGACGAGACTGATGAGTACGGCAGCAGTGTGCACAGGACTAGAATGCACATACGTACGCCACGGCTAACATCGATTAGACATGTGTGCATCGCTCCGCTAGACTCAACTACACTGTCCCATTTACCCCTTCAGAAAGGACAAATGGGACAGGCGTCACAACTTCTACACGGCCGACCCTACCCACATCACGGAAGTGGTGGCTCGTCTTTGGATCGTGAGCGAGTTACCGTATTGGAGACCCGCTTGCGGGAATCAGAACGAAGGGTGGCATCCGGAAGAGGACATAAAAAGGATGTCATGGATCTGCAGGACGGAACACTGGCGGTGTGGCGCCGCCCGGGTGCACTGGATGTCGAAGGCCATGTGGTGAAGGTGCAGACGGTGGTCGTCTAAAGCTGTCCTCATGTCTACTCGGGCAAGGGTGTTCTATCCGGCTTCGACGGCTCGGCTCATCTCCCTGCGATACCACAGCAGTTTCATCTTTTCACTTGGGGATCAGGCGTGGACCGTGCCCGAGCTACTCCGGTGGTTGAAGGCACTGTGGACCCTGCTAAACTAAAAAGATTGGGACTGTGTACTGGTTT